CCACACCCACACCCACACCCACACCCACACCCACACCCTCACCCTAGGATGCACAGTGTAAACACGACCCAACGCATCTCCTTCTCTAATGTCTGGATGACCAAGCACAGCAGTTCCTTGAACACGCCGCTTAAACACTTTTTCAGACGCGTTCCATGTGTAGTATTTTGGAACATCACAGTACAACAGCGTTTTGGCAAAGTCGTCTTTCTGGCAGAGTAAGAAAAATGCTGTTAGTGTTGTTCTTGGTGGTTCATTAACTTTCTCATGAACATTATCTTCGGTGAAATAAATGCGTTGACCATTTTCCAAATGAACAGCCAAATGAACAACGGTTGGATATCGTTCGTGAATTGGAAAATCCAAGATTCGCCAGACTGCCTCATTGCTACTGATGTATCTACCTGACTGGTAGTTACTAATTTCATCAACTGGTGCTCCATCTCTTCCCAAACCAAACACTGCCTGGTCACTGCCCTTGTTGACATATTTGCAGATGTATTTGATTGATTTTACCGAGTTGCAATATTCCACATTAATGTGGGCTTGAAAGACCCGAGAGAGTAGTGGACAATATGGCACAACCCACTTGTTGTCAATTTCGATTTCTTGAATGGAGTTATTAATTCTCATTTTGATTTTGGCTTTGATACCACCATCTTCTGAACTTCTTCTTCTATACGATGGATATCCATCATCACCAGTTTCTGTATCATGCAAAAGTTGTTTTGGATATCTTTTTGTACACTTTTTGTTTTCCATACACGGAGAGTTTGGATTGATACTTCCACATGGACCGTGAATCATAGTCTTGATAATTATTTCAAATAGTCGAGGATCTCGTTCAGGATCAGGTAATTCTGCGCTGATTACGCTATCTATTTGATCTGCTTTAATTTTGTTCTTCAGCCATATCAAAATATGGGCATGTGGTAGTCCTCTCTTTTGCCATTCAATAGAATACATCCAGCATCTTGTTGGCCCAAATACATGGCTTTTGGTAATAATGTTGACCAATTTAGTGAGCTTTTGTCTGAACACTCTTGCTAATGGGTCATGACGATCAGAGGGAGCTTGACCTTCCATTAATTCTGCTTGAATTTCTTGCCACTTAGGATTGCAGGTGAATGTTATAAAGAGGTCGGGTCTTCCGTGGTTTCTTACATAAGTCATAGCGTCTTGTGTATATTCATGCATGTGCCGGGGACTTCCAGTGAAAGTTGCTGGTAGAATCACTAATTGACCAAGATTGTCAGCTCGTCCATAATTGGCTATAGCATCTTTCAGGTGAATGTATTCATCCACTCTAAGCTTTTTTTGATTATAACGTAGAAAAGATAATCTTTCACTTTCGATCTTAGCGTACATGTCAACCACATACTGATGGAAAAGTTGTCGGCACTGTAAGATATGATTGACAGCACCATTTCGTACCATAATTCTATAAGCATAAAAACTCATAGCCGACACCTTTTTGCCAGTGACAGCCATTTCAGTTGTTGGATCAGTCTGTTCGATAAGAAAATGGTAGCCATCCTCACCTTTTCAAAAGATGAGAGGATATTGCAAGGCATCATACGATCTGTGTGTCTCAGATACTCTCTGTAACTGACCATTTTTCTTCTCCAAGACAATATCTCGTTTCTCAAAGTCGTTGCCAGCGATGACAACCGCCACCTCATTTGTCACTGGCTCATTGAAACGACGTGCATGCTCTCCAACAGGTTTCATGTCTGCTCGAATAAGCACCTTGTATTGATCTGTAGGCATTCTTTGAAGGGCAGTCTTGAAAAGATCAACATAAATGTGGTGCTCATGAACCATTTGCTGCAGTTTCTCGACAATGTCTTGACGTACGCCAGGCATGTTTTTGCAACGTTGTTGTACTTCTTTTCGATCGTCGCCCATGAAGTAAATTTGAAGAAATTTATGTTCTTCATTCGAAGGCGGCAGCAGAGATCCTACGCGATGATATACTTGAACCTGAACTCTGAAAGTAGGCATGAAGCCTGGGTCAGCCACTTTCTCTGACGTGCCAAAAGATGTCATTTGAAAGCAGGAATTGTATTTTCTAATGTTATCCAAGAAATGCTTCGATTCAGGCGTTGTTCCTGACATTAATGATTTCAGCGGTTCAGGAGGAGGCTGAAGTTCAGGTAACTTTACTTTACCACCAGAGCAACACATACCTCGTGTTTCTGCATGCCACTTGAGGGCATTACAGTATGGGCAAACATCACTCATTTGTCCAATATAAAGTTGAGGATGGCTGTCATAGTTGTTGGCTGGATCATAACGAAACGCTTCCCCTTCCATAAATGTCCATTGCGCTGCTCTTGAGGCTGCTTGTCGTCTACGCTGATCTTCACTTCGAGTCCGTCTCTGTATGGGATCCTCAGCTCCTCTTGTAGCTGCATGTCTGGCTCGATCTTCTTCCCGTCGACCTTGTCTCCGTTCTGGAGATTCAGCTGCTCTTGAAGCTGCTTGTCTTGCACGTTGACCATCAAGTCGAGTACGTGTGTCTTCAGAATCTTCCGCTGCTCGTGAAGCTGCTTGTCTTGCACGTTGACCATCAAGTCGAATGCGTGTGTCTTCAGAATCTTCAGCTGCTCTTGTTGCTGCTATTCTTCTTGCAGCTGATGTACTTCTTCCCAAAGAGGCTCCTTTTTTTACTGGCATCACGTAATATTTTTATCTAAATAAGAAATATAGAAAATAGAAAATGCTCCGAAGAGAATGAATTTGCAATCTTACCTTTTGAATTTACTGTTGATATCACGATCGAAAAATATTTGATAATCTGGATGCTTATAATTTTTATATGGAATATTGAACACTTACTCGTTTTTGGACAATTATGTTCAGTGATAGAATAGAATATTGTTTTTATTAAAAGCGTTGAAGAATAAGAAATACTATCGTGAGTTTAGTTTTATTAATGAAAAACAAAAGAAAAAGATACCTAATTATATAGATGCAAAACAATAGCATATTTCTATATCATCATCATCATTTAACATGACGTAAACATTCCAATGACGATATAAAATATGATATATGAGGAGGAATGTTATACATGGCATCATACACAACAAATGACAAAGAAATGAAGTCATATGTATTCAAGAATGTAATACAGCTGATTATTGAGTAAAATTGTATAAATAGTATATATAGATACCGTTAATACGTCATATTTCTGAGTCATGAAAAAGAACAAAGACGTTATCTTTGAACGTCAGAAAAAAATGCATGCGTCATTGTTGTAAGTAAAATAAACACAAACACATTTCTTTATGTATATAGAGGAGCGCTCAGACGGCCTTCGGCCGCCTTCGCTATCAATTATTTTAATTTTTTGGAATGCTGCAATCCTATTGGTCAGTTTTCTAGATTGCCTGTAGCAAGCACAGGATTGGCATAGATAGATTGAACATGTGAAATGTTGTATATGAGCGCTCAGACGGCCTTCGGCCGCCTTCGCTATCAATCATTTAAATTTTTTGGAATGCTGCAATCCTATTGGTCAGTTTTCTAGGTTGCCTGTAGCATGCGTAGGATTCGTTTTTTTTCGGAAAAAAATACATGTCGACCTTCTCCTAGGTGTAAAGACCATTTCTGGAAAGTTTCATAGCATTTGCTCGTACCGTGTCCAAATGCATGAAGAACAAACAAACAAACAGACAGACAAACATTCTTCTTTATATATATAGATTATTTCTTGAAATAATCATTTTATTATTATGAGTAGAATGTCATTGATCAATGAAACGTTGCTCTTATTACCAAATCAATCATTTGAAATAGAATATCAACATACGTCATGTGTTTCTAATATGAGTATTTGGCTTATCATTCATTTCATCATCACATGTTTAGCTCAACATTTACTTATTGGCTTTATTTGTCTTCCGGTATATTTGATAATGATATCATTCTTTTATTCTTATTGGAAACGTATAGGTGATGTCATTAATAGCAACTGGTTAGACATATATGATCTGGATAGATATTCATTAATAATTATTGTATTGAAAAAAGAAATAAAATTGATATTCATTTATGTATATATCGCGTTCCTCTACGCATGGCTGCAATTGGTGAATAGCAACTATGCAGTAACATATCTGAGCTTTATTCGTTGGTTAATCGAAGCTTCATTGCTTCCACAAATCTTAACTTTCACTTTTTTTTCTTATTTTCTCTGGCTAGAGAACTTTTTCGAAGACTATCACCTATTTTACGTACCCACAATCATGATCAAAATACCTTTGTTCATCTTGATGCGTTACGCCGAAATTCAATCTGACTTTTTCCTGAATAGGCTCCAAATATTGCTCTTTAATATACTTTGTTATTGGCCTTCGAAATTAAATATCTTTTGGAAATACACTGAATAGAAAAGCACACTATCTCTCATTCTGATATTAGTTTGTTTTTGTGTTGTACTTTAAAAGAACAAGTAACGCTCGCCGGCAGGACTCGCTTAACCCTCGACTGAAATCAATCTTGTTATCATCTGTTATCGCTTTCTGAGTTCTGCTTTTGCAACTATTGTGAAACACATGCACAGACGAAAATCTGTCTACAATATTGTCAGTGATGACCATTTTGTAAAAGATTCGGACCTGTCTAATTTTCATTTTGACTTTCTAAGGCTTAAGCAAACAGCTCGCAGTCGATTGTCATGATTGAATTAAACCCATGCCCCAATCCTATCAGATCGTAGTCCAACGATGTTTCTTCTTCCTCTCAAATTTTTACTTTTGTCTAGAACTTTTTGTATTTTCGGATCCTACTTACAAGAGCTAGATGTCGAAAACATCTGACCATCTATCTTTTCGCCAATGTTTTTGACCCTACGACAAGACGACAAACTTATTTTATTTCATATGACCCTCCCTACAGTCGAGGGAATACAGCCCATTCTTGAATAATTGAATTCTATTCTAAACTATGAAAACACTACATCTTGTTGTGACAATCAATTTTTTCGAAAACATTAAGCTCCTTCATGAATGATTAGGTTGATGTTGTTCTATAAAGCTTTTTTTGTTCTCTGAAACGTGACAGTATATACATATATGTTCAGACAGAAAATCAAACCAAAGGAAAAGAAAAATTATTCATACAGATGTTCATGAAGAGAGAACATAACATGAGTCTTATTTTCTAAAGATGAATGAAGTACCACTATTCAATACCGATAAAATAATAAATGAGATAAATTTTTGATGAAATATCTATCACGCCATAAATCTAGTACTTAAGCTAGCAGACTCGGAGAAGTTCGAAGTTTTACCCAATTCTATCTTATTAGTTATTTAATCGACTTCGAATACATTGATTAAATTTATTATTTTAGAAAAATGCCTCAAAATTTTAGTCTCTATTTTGGATCATATCTATGAACAATTTTTCCTTCGTCTTTCATATGTTCATATATATGCAATACTATTACATTTCAGACAGCACAAAAACAGATATAGAGAAAAACCTCAAGTAAATCATTCATGCTACGAACAATGTTTTAAAAATATTTGCTACGCACATCATTGTACCATAAGTTCATGGTAAACTCTTCGTAACAACGGCACTTTACGGACTGCGATTTTTAACTTTTCTTTTTCAACTCATTGACGCAACGACAAAAGTGTATTCTGATATTAACTGTGATATAGTCCAATATTCTCCCACGTTTTGTAGAGAACGATGGGAGCAATAGAGCGAAACGATCGTAAGAGACGCGGATATTGCGCAGTTCACAAAACAAACTCAGCCTGTTATAAAGCCCATCCATTTTCACCGTCCTACTCATTCAATGCACTGTTTGCTATGCTTAAGACGAAATTGTGAAATATACGGAACGACCAATTAACTCAATAAGAAAAGTATGTGGGACGGTATATAAAGGAGATTCGTTCCAGAGACATACCGCACTAATATTTTGATTGCTACACTAAGAACTATCTCTGTAATTACATAAGAAATCATCAACTCTATATACAAAAAACTCTTATATGTATTTTCATTATACATTGGAAAATTATTTTCGGTTCAGTTCTCGGAGATGTTTTCTAGGAAATGCAGGACTGTACCCATGTCTTGTTTGTTTCCAAATTGTACTCAGCATGCGTAAATCAGAGAACGCGGTTTTTCTCATTCTTCCAGAAACTACAGTTTTTATTTGTGAGACATTCAGACTAACGCGGTGCTTAAGATATTCAACATACTGCAGTGCGCATTCGGTCATCAGTCAGCCTTCCTATTGGGGTATCTTTGATAGAAACATACCATATCCAAAAGAAAGATTTTGTTCCTGGAGCAAAACTTCATCAAAACGACCAAAAGTCTTAAAATAAGAAAGCTCATTTCTGATTGGTCGATCTCTGACCAATGAAAGCTTGGCCAAAGAAATGGACTTCGGATTCGGGTTCAGGGCACTCGATAATCCAAGGGGGAAAAAGCGGATCCTGGATCCTCGGATCCTGGTGGATCCTGTGGATCCTGGTGGATTCTGTGGATCCTGGTGGATCCTGGTGGATCCTACTGGATCCTGGTGGATCCTAGTGGATCCTGGTGGATCCTGGTGGATCCTATTGGATCCTGATGGATCC